GAGATATCTTTGCTTAAACCTTTGAAAAAATTAAATTTTATGTAAATATGATGCATCAAGAACGCCACCTCAATTTATGGGGTAAATCAGACCTACCAAAAAAGTAACCGCAGATCTACCAAAAACGTAACTTTTGCGACAGGAACACCTTTTATAATAAAAGAAATCTAAAGTTGCATTGTTTATATAATATTTTCGAAGTTGGAATTATATCGTATAATAGTACGAAAATAAATGACTTTTTTCAAGTGTTTTCATTTGTTTCGAAGTTTTTTCCCTTTAGAAATAGATGAAAAAAGGTTACTACAGTATTTTGTTTTTATTAAAGATGAATGAAATAAATCAACAAACTATTGAAATATTTGAAATGAATTCACACTTGAAAAACCAAAACCAATAAACCTTTAAAGCTAATGCATTTCCTTTGATATGATGTAACAGAAAGAAGTTATGCATAATGTTTTTAATGTTTTTTTTTTTTTTAAAAAAAAAAAAAAAGAAAAAAAGCAAAGGATACAACATAATCGATTGACTTAATCATAAAAGGTATATATAATAAATGAAAACAAAACGGAAACAATTTTAAAAACGTAAAAGAACAATAATATAATAATATATAAATAATATAGATGTTTTCTTTTTAAGAAAGCAATAACAAATAAAATTATATACAAATCTTTTCATAAGAAAAATAGTGTAATATATATAGTATTTATCAAAAACTTTAAACTTGAAAAAAAATAAATAAGGGTAGGAAAAATGTTCATATACATATATGTCATCTATGTAAAGATTGATACAAAAATTATTTATAAAAACGTAATTTACATAAAAATTATAAAAAAAATTGTTCGTAATATTATATAGAGATAGCGTCCTTTTTACACTAAAGCTAATATTAATAAGGAAAAAGAAAAAAAAAGAGGATTCAAATAATAACCTATTTATTAATTTTTGGAATATTATTGTTAAAAAAAATCAAAATTAATTTCTCTTATATCTTCGACAGTGACAATTAAATCGACATGTTCAACGCCCACTATAACATCTCTAACAAGGTCACTGGGCACAAATTCCAATGCGCCATCAGACGCCCGGATAACAAATTGTTTTCCGGTCGGAGGAGTTGCTTTTATTGCGAATGAAATTAACGACTCGAAAGTTGTTGTGTCACTGACAGCTATTTTTTGCTTATACACCGTTGTTGTGGAACGAATGCTTACAGATTTCAAAATAGGGATGTCTATATAATTATAAAATAAGGTTAGTCGTTTCAAAAAGAAGCACATTACGTATTTACAATGTGAAAATGGTGCACGGGCAGAACCGTCTATTCAATATATTGAAAAAAGTACCAGATCTACGATCCATATACGTTATCCTGCTTGTTGGTCCGGAAATGTTTGAAATGTTTACTAAATATAAATGAAAATGATTTGCATGAATGCTTATAAGATAAAAAGGGAATTGAAAATAACGGCCGAAAAATAATGCGTGCTTCCTTAATGGTCGAAAAAAAAAAAAAATTTTTTTTGATATGTAATTAATCTGAAACCCACCAGGATCTACGTTACGATAAACTACCAATTGAACATCTTTCCCAGCCTCATGGTCGTTATAACTATTCCAAAAGCGATTAAATGTTGATTCATCGAATAAGCCAAAATGTTGAGAATCATCTTGTGTTCCAATTCGATAATAGAGCCGTAGAGTATCCACGGATCCCCAAGACTTTGGAAAACTTGTGAAAGAAACATTAGAATATAATTGACGAAGATTCTGTAATGGTTCAGGAAAGTTTAAATTATCGAGATATATTTTGGTACGTTGATCCAAGAGAGTAAATGGTATCTTGGTAGTATCGAAACAGACAAGAGGTATTACTTTAGAAGCTTTCTCTTGTTCTATAAGTTATGACAAGTAATTGAATGGTCAATAATGTTAATAAGGTTTTAATAATTTTGATAATATTGACAATATTGACAATGTTGACAATGTTGACAATGTTGACAATTATGACAATATTGACAATGCTAGAAGGTGACGCGATTATACATAAAGAATTACGTGCATTCAACAATAAAAACCTAGTATTACCTCTAAAAGATGAGATATCGTTTTCGATAGGATCAACATCACTTTCATTGATAGTAAACAAATTGGGAATTCTACTATCAATATTCATTGCTTCAGGTGCAGAAGCACTGCTTGTTACAACACTATCTAATGTATCGGATGTTGACATCATAGATTGAGAACCGGAAGATTTCAATATTTCATCTTCATAAGATCTTAATTCATCTAAAGCTTTTTTAATGACTGGGCCAAAAACATGACCATCCCAACCGAAACCAAGAGCAATATTATAAGCTTGAATATGTTGTAAATATTGCTCTAAGGAACCAGCTTTTATGAGAGCTTTACGTTTAGAATCAATATATTGTTGTAAAGTTTCTTTCGTAATAGGGAAATAATTTATCGATTCGCCAGGATGTAAACTTTTTATTACGTTAATAAAATTCGTGACTCCAACTCTTGATGCTCTCGTATTAATACTCGGAGATCGTTTACCACGTTTACGATCTTTGTCAGTAGAAGGTGACGTGGATTTATCGCTTTTTGAGGGAGAGGATGGATCTTCATCTTCAGAAGATGCGGATGGATTTTGTTGAACCTCCAAAGGAGATTGATGTTCTCGAATTGGAGGCATTTTTAGGATCGGTGAATTTTATTTGTGCACAAAAAACAAAGAGTTTAGATGTTGACCGTTTTCTTTATTATTACTTTTATTTCGAATACTGTGATAGAAAATTTAGTAAAAATTTTCGAATTAAAGAAAAAAACGATCATGACACAAATAAAGAAAAGACAAAGAACCAAAATACGACATAAAAAATAATTTTGAAAAGAAAGAAGACTTTTTGCGAACAGATAAGAAGGCAAAAGAGTAGTAGCTCAAAGCTGGAAAATAGACATATCTAATTTATTTATAACAGTAAAAAAAAAAAAAATTTATTACAATTTATATATACTGACTATATACTGTATAAAGTCAGTAGCTTTTTTTATATATCACAACATATATTTAATAATAAATACAAAATACAAATAAATATAATCATATTTATATACTATTAGAGTTGACTAAAGTATTTCTCCAGGGTAGGGTACTTAAGTTATAAATCGTAAGCGCCACTCCCTCCGATCAGATACGTGCACGTGAGGTGTGAACATCACGTCCGAGCTCAAGTGAAAAGTAATCAAAATTTGGAGTAGAAAGTAAAAATTATTTATGCAACATTCAACCACTTATAATTGCCAACATTTCATTTACTTGAACAAAAAATAATAATAATAACAATAAAAATATATAGTATATCATTATATATAAATATATTTTATTATTTTATTATTTTAAATAGTAAGAAAAGATTGATATTCGATAAAAATTGGTCTTACGAACCAGATATACAGTTGTGACAGTGCTAATTAAAACGAAATCAAATTACTGCCTAGATTTAGCCTTCTTCACTGTGTAGATAGATTATAAATTTTTTTAAAACGAAAGATAAAGTGACACTTAATACCTAAGGTTATAAGTAATTTTTATTATTATTATTATTATTTACTTAATTACGAGCTCTTGTTTCCCTATTAAATAAAACAATAGTTAAAATAATGCATTTTTATGTATAAACAATAGAATTATATTGTTTGATAAAAAAATTTTATTATATCCACACTATATCTACACATGTTATCACGTGTACAATCGATTAATATTACAGCAATTCGAAATTTTATACGTAATATATCACTATTATTACGTATGTATATAGGTTTCAGCGGAGCTTTTGAGTTTTAAAAACATGGCTTTTAGAATTACAAAAGCAATCATTCCATAATTATTTTCGTGATACTGATAATCCGGATTCAATTTCGAGTAATTCCATAAGGAATAATCGTAAATATAATATGTCATAAAAAGTTATTTTATCTTATTTTCTTTCTGTAATTCTAATCTTGTAATTAAGCAATGTTGTATGATTAATAATTATAATACGCCTATGAGAAAAGAGAGCAAAGAAGGGGTATTTCGGCCCTTGCCATAGACCATAAAACGAAATTACCATATTTATATTACTAAGTAAATATAATCGGTAAATTTATTGCAGTCCGAATGAGAGGCACCGGATATCGGACAATTTTTACGAGCTTTGACTTGAAGGTTACACTGTCCGTATAAATCAAAATCCTTGTCTTCCAAACTTGTTTCGAAGTAAACGCTTTTGGAACTTAAAATAAAATACTATACATCAAACTATGTCACATAGTTATTAAAAAAAGAGAAAATTTTATATTTGTAAATTTATTTCAAGTTAAAATAAATGCGCTTTTTTACGTATAAATCTTGATATTAAACAAATAATAAACACTATATAAACACTATATAAACGTATACAATAATTATATACGGTATAAAACATACATTAAGCATACATTAGACATATATTTACTAGAGGTACTAATCAGATGCTTCAAAATGAAAAAGAAGGGAGAAACTAACCACAAAAGTAAAATTTAGAGTAAATGCGTTGATTAATGTGAATTCAGTCGTCGGTTATGAACGAAAATGGGGACTTTCGTAACTACCCAATTTAGAAAAGGAATGAATATTTCTCTACGATCCTATTATATAAAATAATCGATGTATGTACGTAATACTATTATATATGTACACATTTCAGCCAACAAGTTAAAAAACACTTGTTTCCTTGCTTTTTTGTCATGACTAATTAGTATGAAATAAACAGCTGGTATTTATCGTGATAGTCGCCATGCACCTATTCGGTCTTAAAACTCCACTAAAATCAAATTTTTACATACATATTTCCCTTCTCGTCTTTTTCAGTCATATTCGATCTTTATTCAGTCTGATTCTATCTATTAGATATCTATTAGATCATCAGTTTATAATATCAATCATGCACCTTTTTTTGGTTCAATAGAATAAGAGCTTTCGATTTTACCAATTTTATACATCGTGCAAAGAGTTATAGCAGCACGCGTCAAATAATTAGGTTGTTTACGTGTTCCTATTTTCAATATAATGAGCACACAATGTAACACGGAGCATAATGCATTAAAATTTGGTTAAACAAAAAAAACAATAAAGTTTTTACTCACTCGTGATCATATATTATACAGTCATAGTTAGATTCACTCAATGCGTCATATGTAATTTGATGTAACTGGTCCCACATTTTATGAATCAGATCACATTTTTCTGGGGAACAACCAACAAGTTACGTGAGAAAATTAGTTTATGTAAATAAGTAGGTAGGTTGGTAAGTACAACATTTTTTTTTTAAATAAATGCTTTTCCCGAAATAAATTCCGGAAATGCATTGTCATCTTTTATTATACTATATTGTAATGAATAGCCTTGCCTATATAGGTCATTCTTCATCTGTGAGCTTTCTTTGGATCTTATGTTGTGCGTGTGTAAATTGTATTCTTAATCATTTGCCCACTTATATTTCAAACTTTAGATATTTTATCAACATAATCTTTCCGGATTGGTTTGATTGGTTTTCTGTCTCGTTAAATCATTTTCCGATAGCACATGCAACTTACGAATATATTTAACATATTTTAAATTAATATAAGTTGGTATAACAGTGTACTGTAAACGTGTGTTCTATAAGCGTACTCCCCACTACTTGAAAATACATGCTATATATTTTTTCACACTTATGTATACATTTTATTATTTCTCTATACAATCAGTATCAAGCGTATTTTTAATATGTAGATTTTCACACAAATTTTCACACTTAAATTTTCACACACAAATTTTCACACTTGGATTACATGGATTTACATTGAATGAGTGAATGGTAAATGCGTTAGAAATTGTAGAAACAGTTAGAAACAGTAGAAACAATATAAACAGTGTAGATTAATTACATAATGCAGTCAATTCTATCGCATTCATCTTAAAATCCCATTCATTCTAAATTTGACTTACTACAGTATCTATGAAACTACACTTCCCAAATAGAGTTTTATGAAAAAAAAATCATACTTGCTTTGGATTTATTAGTTGTGTAGTGTGCATTTACGCGAGGTAAGCACATACATCCTAGATATACTAGATGGATGGTGTACCGTGCACATTTACCCTCGCTTTTTTTTTTTGAATATGGCATATGGTTGACATGGTGTTACAATAAGTTTATTATTGGATTTGGTTTTACATAATATACGTAGAAAATTATTGTTTGTTTATGTATAAATATAAATATATATTTGAATATGTATACATCATGGTATGTTGGATTAATTCATTTTTAATTTGGTAAAGAGGCGTCTAAAAGCCAAAGAAATGATGAGATCTATTCATTGGAACTGGGTGCTATTTTCCATGTAACGCCATGACTGTCAAAGATATAAGCTTTAAATGGTGATTTATCAAATCAATAGTATCCAGCTGATCACATTTAATTCTATGTGTGGGAGAAGCGGAGAGGCATCTAGTAATTCCGATGATGCGTGTAACATTTTTCATAAATAAAATATTATCGGAGTTTGTAAATATGATGGCAGGTTTAATCTAGATTACGAATTTACTGATGTAGGATGATTGTCCACTTTAATAAAACTTAAAAAAATTAAAGTTAAGGGGTCCATAAGATTAAAATCGGACCGACTTTTTGTATAATAGTATAATACAGTATATATGTAATATAGCATAATATAGCATAGTATAGTATAGTACAACATTTAATAATGATAATATATTTTGATTTAATTATATACTATAGTATTCATAGTATTCATAGTGTTCATAGTAGTATAATAGTCTTTATCGATAATAATAGCTAGTTTATTTTTTTTTTGTGCACAAATAAATAAATTATACGTATTACCTGTAATAAATTATTATTATGATTATTTATACTCCAGGGGTGAAGTGAAATTTGTACAATTTAAACATATAGCAAGGAGTCAAAGAAATAAATATTTATAAGCATATGCCATGTTTAATATTAATTTAATACGACTACTACATGCGATCTTGGTTTTAATATCATATGCGCGATATTTTAACAATTACTAAACCCTGACGATGCATAAATTACGTAACCTTCTGTTAACAATGTATGCGCCTGTGAATCACGTTCTAAAGTTTTTGTCATTTAAAATGGATCGCGTAACGATACTAGTCCTGTTACCCACGTAACGGAGTCTAAATTTGCTTATTGTTATGATTTAATTACCGTAATAAACTTTTCTATAAACGCACTATGTAGAACAGCCCTTGTGTAAAATATGCAGAATAGATCATGTTATTCATTATTATTATCATGTTATTTATGATCAAACAAGTTTCTTTGTTGTAATTAAATCGTGTTTACCATAAACAAATGAGTTTATGCTTAAATTAATTTGAATTAACGTGTGAAAAATTTTACGATTTGCTTTTTAATTTTTTTTTTTTTTTTTATCATCTACTTTAAACTGGTTTATATATTATTAGTGACACACATTAGGTATATAAATATATATGTATATAAATATATATATATATTATACATTGTTATTTGAGTGCATTATATTATATTATATTATTTACTATATTATTTACTATATTATTTACTGTATGCGTTAAGTATGAATCCAGTATAATGTTCCAAACTGTGTGAA